AATGTCCAAGGACTTATTTGTTCCAAAAATTGTCCAATGACTTATTTAACATATTTTGGAATGTTCAAGGACTTATTTAACATGTTTTGGAAAGTCCAAAGACTTATTTGTTCCAAAAAAAAGTTCAAGGACTTAATAATTTCAAACAAGAAAGTTCATTGGTTTTTATTGTACTTTTCCCTTTTTTAATTGAAAGGGTAATGTTTAAAAAAAATGACTTTATACAAAAAATTTCCCTAGAAACTTATTAAATAAGTCAATTTTTATATTATTAAGCAACTACTATACAATTATATATAGCTGACCAAATAAGTTGTGAATCTTATTAAGCTTATTAAGATGGTAATAAACACTAGTTGTTTGGCGATCTCACAAAAATGTTAATCTATTATAATGTCTCCATAATTCGTTATAACCTTATTCTTTAAGGTAGAACGAAACCCGTTGTATGATCATCGATACAAATTTTTTCTGTATGCAATAAATGGGTTCTACACATACTTGAATAAATGACGTACAATGATATAATAAGGAAGAACACGAGTGTTTTGAATAGCTAATTGGATGAGTGTCGTCTTTGAATGCTTTCTTTCAAAATATGGTGAAAATTCTTCAAATGATGATCGAAACATCAATTTATAGTCAAAGAAATAAAAATACCCGAGCCGTTGCTTAATGTCCCTGCTATTCACGAAAAATAAGAAGCAGATAATTGACGTTTGGATCAGCATTATGTAGACATTCGGAACAAAGGTTCTCTCATTCTCTGAAATTTGTGCGTTTAAACAGTGAAGTGATCCGTACTCCAATATCTGATTTTTGTCAAAACCATGACTTTCTATATTTGTCTCTTAAGCTATCTGCTATAGGTGAAATTATCAAACTAATTTCCTTAGTTTCAGAATTAGCAAAAAACTTGTTACTTTTGAGTGTTATACATGAATCTAAGGGGTTGTTTACCTAAATGCTTACCCGGTAAATGCTTACCATTATGAGTCAACACTATAATTTATTTTACTGGGTAAGGTTGTAGTACATCAAAATGTATTCCATGCAACAATTTTTCAAGTAAGCACTTACCCGAGTAAGAGTCGTCACCCTCACTTACCGGGTAAGACTCTTCATCCTTATCCTCGTTCTTACCGGATAAGATTCTTGGCCTTTGTCATATTCATCCGGTGAAAAAAATTGCCCGGTAAGTACTTACCGGATACGCGTTTAGTAAACGACCCCTAAGCTTGCTATTTTCTTGGTAGTAACTATCAAAATTAAGAATGGAAAAAGACTTAAAAAGTGGTGAACAACAATCCATTGAACTTCAAGGTTAATTCAAGTGGTTAAATGACTTGGGCTCATTAGAGGATTATGAAGCAGAGATGTTCAAAATGGGTTCGTCCGGCCCGTGACCGATTTAAGACGGGGATGGGGACTGGTAGGGATCGGTTATAGACCTGCAGTCCCGACCTGGTTATATTTTTTGGAAAAATCATGGCTTGGGTCGGCGTGACCCGAGACCGATCATATATAGACCCGATTTTTTAATGAAGTTTTATAAATTAGTATCAAAATTTCAATATTTCTACAGGATTTTTAAGTTTTCAAGTTCTTTTTGATGTTTTTCAAAATTTGTAAGTATTCTAATACTGAATCTCAAATAACATTTATAACAATTTTGTAGAAAAGATTTGATTTTTTTTTTTGAAAATGTATTTGAATGGCCCAAATAGAGATTTTAAGTGTAATTGTTTACGATGAAATTAGGGTACTAATGGTTAAGAGAGACTCATGATACAAAATCATTCAAAAAATTCAAAAAGACAGATTTTTTTTTATTAAACAAGATTCATCTTTTAATGATTCAAATATTGTCTTTTAATCAAATATTTAATTTATAGGAGATGAATTTGGTTTAAAAGGATATAAAAAATGGATTCTTTAAAAGCAAAACTAAAAAGCAACGGAAAGAGACAAAAAACCGTGACACCAAGGGTGTAAACCGTCATCCCTGCTATTTTGGCGGGAAGCTGTTTATGAGTCGCCACGTTCTAAAGAACAGCCATGGCGATGCTCCACGTGCCCTACGTTCTTCATCCACCTCATTTGTGCTTTTCAAAACTCTGCTACCCAAATCATTCACCCACATCAATGAAGTAGAAGAAGAGACAACTTTCTAAAATGATTCGACGTTTTTTGTCCAAGAGGTTTTCATAAACCCTAACCCCTAAATCGCACACCCAAGAAGAAGAAGTAGAAATGATTTTGAAGTTTTTATCCACAAGTCCTCGTTCATTCTAACCCCTAAATCACATATCGAAGAAGAAGAAGAAGAAATCCTGTGAAATGATTTTGAAGTTTCAATTCAGAGATCTTCATTAACCCTAACCCCTAAATCACAGACCGAAGTAGAAGAAGAAGAAGAAGAACCCTAAATCTCTGGATTCAATTGATTGATCGGAAAGAAGAAGAACCCTAAACATCTGAATTCGATAGATTGATCGGAAAATGAAAGTACCAACAGGGTTTATAGCTAAGCTTTGGAGCTTCGTCTCCTTCCTTCCTTTCTTCCTCCTCCTTCTCTCTCTTGGCATAATTAAAGGTATTCTGTTTTAAAATCCAGATTACAAGTTCATATACGAAAAATTCACAAAAATCTGTGAGTTGCAGGTGTCATAATCGGACCAATTGTGGTGGTGATAATGGTGGTCGGAAACTCGGCGGTGGCAATTGGACTTTGGGTGGCACATTTCTTCTGGACCTACTTCTGTGTCTTCAAGTAACTTGCTATTTGCATACCATAAGTTGTTTGTTTTTCCTATCCTACCAACCGATTATAATCGGTGTGTTATGTGTACCGACCGATTATAATTGGTGGGTAACATTTTACATTTGAAACTTCACAATAAAACACTATAAATGTAAAAGAAAAAAGACGGAATCTTCCCAACCAACTATAATTGGTATTTTATTCAAATTTTAAGTGACATTTGGAGGTGTTTAAGAAATGTTAAGGTTTTTAGGGGTGTTTGGGATTGCTTATAAAAACAACTTATTGACTTATTTCTTTTCGGTGTGGTACCGGTAATAAGCATTTTTGAATGTTTGGATAAACAACTTATACCGGTACCAAACCGGTAATAAGGAGTTTTTGAAGAAGTTGAATCCTTCTGACTTGGGGGTGTTTGGAATTGCTTATTTGAAACAGCTTATGATTTTCTACAGAAGCACTTATCAACTTATTGTAAGTCCTAAGAGTTTAACTTCTTCAAAAACTACTTATTACCGGTTTGGCACCGGTATAAGTTGTTTATCCAAACACTCAAAAGTGCTTATTAATGGTGGCATACCTAAATAAGTCAAGAAGTTGTTTTTATAAACAATCTCAAACATTTCATAATAAGTTGATAAGTGATTTTATAGAATAAGCAATTCCAAACACCCCTAAAATTGCAAGAAGTAAAAATAAGTAATATTTAAATGTTTAAATAAAATAGTTAAAATTAGAATTCATAATATTCGATATTTAAAAAAAATGCAAAACCTAATAAATAATTAGGAGTGAACTACAAATTCGGTCCATGTGATTTGTCAAATTTAACGTTTTTTATCCCTGCAGTTTTGAAATTATAAGATGGCACGTCATGGTTTGTAAAAACGTCCGGTTTTAGTCCCCTTCTTCGAACAATAGTTAAAAATTCCGTTAAATGATACGTATTTTCGTCATTTTATTTAATTTTTTGGTCTTTTGCAAACCATGACGATTGTTATTTTTGAAAAAACCATAAGGACCAAATTTGTAGTTCAAGTCGGTACCGTGCTAATCGTGGTATGCCGACTTCCAAAAGCGTGTACCAAATTTGTATACTTGGTACAATGCTATCAACCGACTGTAATTGGTATCAATTTAATGGGTACTGATGTTGGCCGTTTGGTTCGGTACAAATTTGCCACCCCTAGTTTTTCTCATTTCGAAATTAATTTTGCAGGACTAAAAGGCTTGGATGGGTGTTGAAAATACTTTTAATTCTGTTCTTGCCTCTGCCTCTTGTGCTATGGCCGGTTGTCGCCATCGCCGGCAGCCTTCTCGGCGGTGTAGGTTTTGGGTTTTTTGCTCCATTGATTGCAACGTTTGAAGTTATCGGTACAAATCACAGAGACAAGTGCTTCCATTGCTTTGTTGTAAGTATGATTAGCATTAAAGATTCCGAATTATGATCGATATTTTGTATGATTTTTTTGTTTATTTTGAACGTAGGATGGTTGTCGTTCCACACTCGAAGGAAGTTGCACGGTGGTTCGAGATTTTACCGATTTTTGCTTCCACTCTTACTTCTCCTTCATGGATGATCTCAGTGAAGAAATGCCCGCCGGCCAGAAACCGATTGACATCAGGTTCGGAGAATCCTATTCCTTTAGCTTTTTAGCCACCATTTTTGGTCACCATGACAAAATCGGATATTTTTATTAACCTGGATATCCAACCCGCTATGCAAGCCGACTAATCCCAGGGCGACCCCTTCACGGGTAGTCCGAAGTCACCGCATTTGAACCTCCGTGGCTAAAATCGGATTTAAACGTCCTAATAAACCGATTTATAGAACTTTGTAGGATCAAACAATTGTTCGTCCTATTTAAAAGTCACAATTTATTCGTTCAACACTTACGTAGACATAAGGTTAAAATGGTAATCTTTATTCAGATTATTTGTTCAGGACAAAAATCAAACAACAATTTATCTTAATGTATCTAGACAGATCAATGTTTAGAGACAACTTAATAGATTCAGAACTTGATGGGTGAAAAATCAAACAACCCCTAAAAGCGTCTTACAAGCTTATTGTAATACTTTTACATGTGACGAATTATTATTTGGTCATATACTCATATAAACCCAAGTCCTGAAAAACAGTCTATTAGAATGTTTAGACATTTTTGGCGTCCTATAAACCTGATTTTGTTGTAGTGGACGCGCAGATTGTAAAACTCATTAATTCACAAACGATTATCGTTTCTTGATGTTTATGCGCAGATTATCCAAGTTGCCGAAGTGTTTATTCGTCCTTCCGATTGCCGTTGCCGTTGACGTGCCGCTGATAACCGTCGTGGCTCTGTGGAAGAGCCCGTACATGCTGATCATAGGATGGAAGAGGCTATTAGAAGACTTAATCGGGAGAGAAGGGCCGTTTCTTGAAACCGTTTGCGTGCCTTTCGCTGGACTTGCGATAGTTTTATGGCCGTTGGCGGTGGTTGGAGCCATGATTGCTTCTTTCTTTTCCAGTTTTGGTCTTGCTCTGTATAGTGCGATGATCGTCCACCAGGTTTGATTTTATACATTACAAATGTAAAGCCGACCAGAAGAAGGCCGGTAATCGCAAATAAATTCCCGACCAGAAAACTGGTCGTTGATTGCAAATTTCGATCAAGACGCAGCCGGAAAAATCTGGTTGCAGAAATGCTAGTTGCTAAATCCACCCTGCACCTCCGTTTTTCAGGAAGATTCGATTAAATTTGGGCTTGCGTACATTATGGCTGTAGTTTCAATGTTTGATGAATATACAAATGACTTGCTCTATTTAAGGGAGGGATCGTGCTTTCCGAGGTACCTTCGTGGTTATTCACATATGAATTACAACGGTAGCACCGTTAAGTGGTTGCATGTGCCACTTCTTATTAGGGGATCCGTGCGGTAAACGAGAACCATAAATATTTTGAGAACCGAATTATTTCTTTAAAAGAGCCCTAGGGGAAGGTTTGAATGAGGATCATAACCACAAAAAGATTGAGAACTGTGAGAACCCTTGATCATGTGCTGTTTCATATTGTGAAACAATGCATTTGAATATGAGGGTGTGAAACAAAAATACTAAAAATAGACATTCACATTGTGAAACACCACGTTTTCACATGCATTGATTCACAATGTGAAACAACACATGAAAACTGGTTCTCACCGTTCTCAACCTCTTTGTGGTTCTCATTTGATTAGTTTCGTCATATATATATATATATATATATATATATATAGTATTGATGCATATACACCATCAAAACATGTATTATGTCAACTAGTATATTCATCGATACATATCTACTATGTGTGTGTATATATATATATAAGGTTGGATTCCGGTGAGAAGAAGAGTTAAGGTGAGAAGCATAAGAAGGGATCTTCACCCTTGGATGCACATTAGGATGAGATGCACCGAGATGCACTAGATCAATCCCCGTATACTTCTCACCTTAACTATACTTCTCACACGATTCTTCACCTATATATATATATACACACACACACTTTGGTGCATATACTCGCTGAAATTTCATATAGTGTATATGTATTCATGCATATATTGGTTCTCATTTGATATATTTATATTAAATGGTTCATGTCTAGCCAACGTAGGACTCCAATAAGTTATATGGTCGCCAATGGTTTTTTAGGGTCATTCAATTTGATGGTTTCCATTTGAAATTATTTCAATGCCAGACCAAGATACCGTGAGAACATGAAAACATCTGATCGGCTCGAGAGGAGTTTGACAGGTAACGATAACAAGAACGAAAAGGAAAGCTCGAGAGGTTCTCGGCTGGTTTCACAACGTTCGAAGACTTTGAAACAAGCTCTCCAACAATACACACCTGTGCAGGTAGGTTGCAACTTGCAACATCGTGCGTTTTCAATCAACAGAGTGCATGTTTTACGATTTACATAACTTGCAGGTGTGGGATTGGCTGTTCAAATCGTGCGAGGTGAACGGAAGAATACTTCTGCGTGACGGTTTAATAGACGTGAAAGACATAGAGGAATGCATCGTGAAGGGAAGATGTAAGAAGTTGGACATCAAATTACCGGCATGGTCCATATTGCAGTGTCTTCTTGCTTCGGCAAAATCCGAATCTTCCGGTTTAGTTATCTGTGAGTACTGTTCCCCATTCTTCCGGTTTAGACATTTATTTTGCATCCTATAACGCCGATTTTTTGTCATATATTGATCCTAATCGAGTATATATACATATATATATACACACACATTGGTTGTATTAGCGGATGAGGTGGAATTAACAAGGACGAACTTGCCAAGGGATAAAGTTTTCGAGTGGTTTATTGGGCCGCTCCTGATCATAAAGGACCAAATCAAGGGGCTTCAACTGAACGTAGATGAAGAGATCTGCCTACGAAAGCTCGTGATGAGGTACAAGAACGAGAAACCCGAAGACTGGGACGATAGCGGTTTTCCATCCAATGATCATGTCAGACGAGCACAGCTACAAGCCATCGTTCGAAGGTAAATTATTTTCGAGAATAACTTTGATAGATTTATTTAAATGCATCACCGTTTGACGGATTTCGAGGCGTTTCTTGTACTTGAAAGAGACATTCTTCTATTATGCAATGTCGTTTTTAAAATCGCTCGAAGCATTCAAAAAAAATTGTTGGAAGGTATTGTTCTAAATAACGCATCATCCCGACCCCTCGGTTTACGTACAGGTTGCAGGGCATAGTAGGGTCGATGTCTAGGATGCCAACGTTCAGGCGGAAGTTCAAGAACTTGGTGAAGCTTTTGTATCTTGAGGCACTTCAGGCGGGGATTCTAGCGAGCCAAGATGTGGCAGATTCGAAAAGTGGGCATAGATGTCAGGGTTCGGTTAGTACAGTGGGCTCGACACCCATGACCCAGGATGAAAACCCGCGTAATGCTCAAGTTTCTGAGGATGTGGTATGATAATCATACCACATCCTCTCGAAAACCTCCAAAAACCGAACACATTGTACTTTTGTCTTTTGGTTTTTGTTTGGAGGTTTCTAAATCATGATGGTGGACCGTTGAGGTTTGACATATGTGCGAGAGACATGATAGTAAACCGTCGTAGACGAGATGTCGTTTCGATTCAGTGATCGTGAGGCTCTGTTGATTCGTTTTGTGCAGTGAAGTCCGAAAGTTGGAACTATTGGTGACGAAGTGTTCCAGGGGTTGGACTCGGGTGCACGGGAGAGCTTAAATGTATGGGCTATGTGGCTCATACAACCAGGGTTCGAACTCGGGTGCACGGGAAATCAATTTCTTTTCTGGGACAAAAATTGCAATATTGTTATTGTCAAAGTTATTAGTTTTGTATATAGGGATGAAAAGCAGTCTGATGTGTTGTATATTATTACTTGGATGTGATTTCAGATATTTTGAATGTTATGATTCTTTTGAAATAAAATATCTCTAACATAATTTAAAAAGTGCAAATTGTATAAAAAAGTAATGTATTTTAACTTGATTTTAATTTTGGGTAATGTATTTTTAATATTTTTGATATCTAAGATGTAAAGTTTTAAATATTTAAATATCTGGATAACGGGTAAGCATTAACCAGAATCTACTTCCATTGGTTCATCGTGATGTTTAAAACCGAATCGGCTTTAAATTTTAACCGGATCGGTTGAAGCTCGATTTATTATGGGTTTTTCATTTTTGAGTCCGGTTTAAAAAGCCTCGAGGCAAGTCTGGGCTGGGTTACGAGCTGGACTCGATACCTACCCGCTCTTGGGTATCTAATGGTTCACCCACAACTCAAAGAGCAAACGGAGAGCAATGAAGACAGCTGCAAAGGTAATATTCATTCTTGATGACGTCGACGGCGGCCTCGCCACCGCCATCACAGGCGGTCTTCAAGCAAACTCCAGTTCCGCTCTCGAAAGATCGTTAGCTCTTGACTTCCTTTTGTCTTTATGCAATTACTGTTTCAATCTTTGCCGAGGTCAGATGATGATTTGTTGTTTTTTGGTTCTTAATTTTGCAGAAAAGAGTCGTTCGATCTGTCACTGGATCAATATGGAATTATGGATACCAGAGCTTCTGGAGATGTTACTCACTTTGTCGATACCAATGGAGTTCCTCAAGTAGGTATCATGATTGTTATTTAATATTTGGTTGTTTAAATTCAATATTCGTGTTAGATTTGTGCCATACGTGCTGCTTTAACTTAACGGAGTTAAGTTTGGAGAATGGAATTTGAGTATGTTTATTCAGTTCAATCGTGTACTGAATTTATGTAATCGTCTTTGACTTGTATCAATGGAGGCTAGAACTACCGATACCTTTATGTAATGGACAAATTCTCATCTAAAACGTGAGATCAATATTTTGGATACAATACTGGAGATGAATGCTGAACTCATAATGGTTCAGAATAATTCCCCTTGTAGTTTGCGCAATTTAGGGATTAGAACTAATGGTACGGAATGTCATTTAGTGATGCAAACGGAAATATGCGTGATTGGAAGTAGTTCACTTGCCGAAGCTCGGGATGGGAATACGAGAGGTTCTCTAAAAACGATCCTACCCAAACCCACGTATCCTTGTTCATTTGCTTTCTCTTAATTTTGTAATTACAATTGGTGATCAGTCACTGATTCCATAAAGCAAACAGGGACAAACACAATCATTTGTGGGTTTTAGTTTGTGCATTACAAGAAAAACAATCTCTTCTTTTTGGTGAAAATAGAAGCTGTATGCATATAGGGAATCTCACAGAGATCTTGATGGTTATATATGACATGAAGGCTTAAAAAGAAATCAAACTGCCTTTCTAGTTGGAGTTTACATTGATAAAGTTGCTACTACAACACTATAGAGTATTGGAACACCCTAATCCTTGGAATCCTTGAATGCATCATGCATGATACTAGATCGTAGCTCCTAAAACGCCCTTGCCTGCCTCACTGTGAAGCTGAGACAGGGGCGGACCCACACTAGTGGATACGGTGGCATGGGCCATTACTTTCTTCCGTCGTAGTGTAAAAAAACATAGGGTCCTGAAAGGTGCCACCATATCATTTTGTTGTGTGCAACCGTATATATTTTAAAACTACAATAAGAACACAATTTTCAGTTGGGAAAGTTGGTTAGCAAGGAGGCTTTTCCCCCATCCCAGGTGCAGGTTCGAATCTTGTTTGTGCCATTTACTTAGTTTTTAGCTTTTACTTTCAAATTTATTATGTTTTTGAAAAAAAAAGAAGTGATAAAAGACGCAAACACAGTACCTCACACACATAAAGCAAAGAACTAACCAACAAACCAATGATGATTTTGTGAAAAATATAACCAAATGGATATATCTTCATTTCTTATAGTCAAACTGTGCCAATGCCACGACTTGAAAAACTTTCTAGGTCCGCCTCTGAGCTGAGAACCCTGCACCAAACCTGAAAACCAAATGTTAGGTGTAAATTGACACCACATCATGATTGTCTGTCCATCTTGGTTCTGCATAAGTACTAATCTCCAAACGTAATCTTGCATCATTTCAAGTGTTCTGCACCATTTCTTGTGGATGACAAAATTCTGTGACTTTCCTACTTCCATCAGGTGTCCATCTTGGTTCTGCAAAGGTACGAATCCCCAGTATTGGCATGTGCAATCAGCGAAGTGTTGTCATCATTAACAGGAGAAGGAACATCAAGCATGCCTTCATTGATTTTTCCATTCATTTTAGACTCGTCAAAGATTAAGCTGGAAAGAAAAACTTCAGTAGATGGAAACATTTATGGCATACAAATAGGTCCAGAAAGTGGTATGATGCAAATCTTAGCCAGTAGACATGAAAAAGCACCCCCATCGATGCAGATTCATTATGAGCCTCTGTCTTGTGTTCTTCAGTTGGTCCGTGTCCTGAAGACATCTTCGTTTATTCTTTTCGGACAAAGTGGTCAAAAGCAAACGCTGCAGAATGACCTTGAGGTACAGTCTTTCTATTCATCTGTTGTGAATAAAATGTGAAAGGTAGCAGCTCTCTTTTTTTGTGTTTGTGCATTTTGTGTTTGTCATGTGGCTCTTTCTGCTACGTAAAGAAATTTGCTTAATATTATAGCCTGCACGGCATAGATACGATTTAAGACGCTTGTGTCCAGGGGCAGATTCAGTAATACCTAGGCGGTGCCTGTGCCTGTGCCCCCCTGCTCTATCTTCCGGTCACAATGGAAAAAATAGGGGTCTTAAAGGTGCACCCGCTTTATTTTGATGTGTGCTCCTTTAAGTTAACAAAAGGTGGTTGCAGTCTACTGGTAGTTTTTTGCAGGTTGCAAGTTCGAGTCCGTTTGGCTCTCTTTTGATTTTCTTTTTTTGTAACAACAGCAGAAAAGAACAAAGAAATCAATAGGATATTGCAGAAAACATAAAAAAAACCATTTTTATCTCATTTTTAATTAAACTGTACTTTCTATACTTATTTTTTGTTTTTATTTTTTATTATGTTTAATTTACTGAGTTTGTTTAGTTTGGTTTAGGCGGTGTGCTAGTTAGGCAACTATTTATCTTTTGACTGTGTGAGATTTACTGTGTTTGTTTAATTTGGTTTAGACGGAGTACTATTTATCTTTTTGACCATTTTGTTTTGTTCCCAGGTAATATGTAAGATAGGAGAAACGTTGGCTAGCGCCTCATCCCTGCAATTCGTGAAAGAAAAAGTAACATGGAACCCGACCAAGGCGTCGAAAGAACTCGAGAAAGAGCCATGGCGGGCACTATACGGTTGAAATCAGAAAACTGAGATGTTCATGTGCAGTCCATTCTGGTGCCTTTTGTAGTCCATTTTCTCATTAACTTGAGAAAAGTAACAATGTTGATATGCTTCATTGTTGTATGTGTACTATTGTTTATCGTAGTCGAGATTGTAGAATGCGAAATGCTTGCTAGTTGCATCTACGTTGGTGATTGCTTGAATCTTGCACATTTGCGGACCAGCTACAAAGGTATTAAGGGTGCGTTTGATATATGTAAGATAGGACATTTTATTGTTATGAATGGCATGGCATTAGACTCCGATATGCCAATAAATCGCGGTATCTTAAGACATTAGGTGGGTCGGATTTGAACCAAATAATGGGTCGTGAAAACTCCACCACCTTTTCATAATTGTTCGATGGATAATCTAAGGGAATAACGATTTTGCATCAGGGATGGACCCAGAGGGTGGTTGTGGTGGTACGTGCCACTGTATTGTCCCTCCGTCATAAGCTAAAAAACATTAGATTCGTGTTTTAGAAAGTGTCACCATATAAAAAGTTTCCGGAGTCTATCCCTATCTTGCAGCCACTTGTATACTTTTGAAGTATGTTTATAAATTGTAACCCAACTATTATTTTAAATGATTCAAATCATTATTAAGGGGCCGTTTACTTAAACACTTACTCGGTAAGCATTCACGGTAAAATTCAACACTGTTGTTTACTTACCGGACAAGATTTTATTTGCTAAAACGCATCGTATGCAACAATTTATCTCCGTAAGCGCTAACCATGGTAAGAGTCCTTGTCATCACTTACCGGGTAAGACTCGAGATTCTTGCTTTCGCTCTTACCGGGTAAGATTCTTAGTCTATGCCATATTCATCCGGCAAAGTTAATTGGTTTGGTAAGCGCTTACCTGGGTAAACGTTTGATAAACGACACTTAATCTAACTTTAAACACTACCCTCGTATTTATACAAACCGGTTTCTAGCCATTTTCCTTGGCGTGCCTATAGTTGATTTTATTGATGTTACTTTTACTGTTGGTTCGAACCAGCACTAACAATTCTTCACGTTCATTCAACAACAATGGTCAATAGTGTCCGCACAATCTACGCCAATGAGTCAAACAAATCAAACCCAGATAGTGAAAGAGTTTACTGCTAGGCGACACGATATTAACAAAACAAGTGAAAAGGCAAAAGTATCCGTGACATATCAAAGTTAAATGCAAATCATTTCTAGACCAGCCAAAAGCTAGCACTGGTTTTTAAGTTATTTACTACACTAGGGGACCAAAATTGAAGTTTACTAAAACATAAACATATACATTTGCTTATACCATCTCCAACAAGACATCGAACATTATCTCAAATACCAAACACAAAATCATTCTAACAGGGACGCTAAATCTGGTGTAATACTATTCATTTACACAAAATTTTATACTAATCAAAAAAAGACATAGAAGTATATACCTACAATCTTACACGTTGGTGTAAGGATAATAGATTTATTTTGTACACCAAAATTTACATCAGTTATTATAGATTTAAAGAGTAAACTGCGTTTTTCATTTACGTAATTGGTTGATTTTTTATTTATTTTCATATATGTGTTTTTGAAATTACGAGTTTCATCTACATGGTTTATAGTTTATTATTGTCTTTGTCCTTATGATATAAACTTTATTGTTGTTTTGGTCCCTACAGTATACAATTCATTTTATATTTTAGTCCCTCCATGGACGGACCTACTATGGGGAATACAATGGCACGTGCCACCGTATTAATACTCCGTCGAAGGGTAAAAGTTTTTAGATTTAGGAAAAGATGCAACCGTATTATTTTGTTGTATGCCACCGTATGTATTTTGAAACAACAATGAGAACAAATTTTATTTGGTAGAATTGGTTTGCAAGGTTTTATTTCATTCCAGACCAAGTTCGAATTTTGTTAGTGTCATTTTCTTAGTCAAATGGTACCACTGTTTGAAAAAAATTACATATATTTGTTTCTTATAATCAAACGGTGCCATCGTTTGAAATTTTATTTATATATTTTTTCTTATAGTCAAATGGTGTCACCGTTTCTGAGTCCATCCCTACGTCCCTCGTACTTAAAAGTGTAAACTGTAAAAAGGAAAACCGCAATTTCAAAATGACAGGAACAAAATCTGTAAATTTTAACGAACCCTAGGGACAAAAATGTAATTTGCTCTAGATTAAATGTAATATTTTGATGTAGTGAAAAGTATAGTTGTTCTCTTGGTAGATTTCCAGTTTCGGGAAGATTCTTTATAATATTTGAAATGCTGCAGTTTTCCCGCACAAAAGTGTGCTTCCTTCAACACTCCACTGATGAAACCTTAAGCATCCAGTCCCCAATTTGATCTGGATCAAATCCATCTAGTAGTTGTTAATTCTTGTAATCTCTCCACCGGAACGAATCAATGGCGTCGCCGGCGGCCGCAGAAGAGCAATCTAATACGAAAACGGAGGAAGGAACGACGGCCTTCCGCAAGAAGCGGTTTCGGCGCGTGAGCTTTGCAGAGAATACATCTGTTCACATATTTGACCGTGATGAAGAGTACAATACTCCCCCGGACGTTGAGCCTCCTAGTTCCCCGTACGAGGAATTAGGGTTTTCTGAACGAGATGGTGCCCGGAAGCAGTTTTTCCGGAATGAAGAAGAGGACGACGAAGATGATGATATGGATGAACTCGGTCCGAGGAGTCCGTTTTTGCGGGTGGTTCGGTCTCCATCCTCTGGTGGAAGCACTATTGGTTCCGTTACCTCCAACGATGGCAAGTGTTCCTGACCCTCATCATATTTTCGCTTGATTGATTAAGTTATAGCGAATTGTCAGTTTGTTAATTTCGTTCAATGGCCAATTCACAGTGAAAATAGTGCCTTCTTTTCTTAAAGGAGAGGTACTCTCGTAAAAAATGATGTTTCACGTTTCCCATGTAATTTTTCCAAAAAATTTAGAAGACTAAAATTTTAGGGGCGAACCAAGTATGAGAGCGTGCATTTCTTTTTGGAGCAGAGGGTATCTACATAACCATTTAATAGAAACCAGTTGAGAAGCAAAGCAGGGGCGGTTGAGCTAGGTTTGGGGTCACACTTGCTTATGAGCACTAGGCAAGAAAAGGAAATGTTTATATCATGTGTTTCCAGAAAGTAGAACTCGTATATTTACTTGACTTCTGATTATGATATCTTTTAGTTCTGCATTCTGATGAGCATTTGTTGTGAACTGACAAATTGGGCTATCCATTCCTGGAGATTGGAACTTCCCAACAGGAAAGAATGTTCATCATGATCCTTCTATGTTCGAAGATTCCTAAAGCGGAAGCTGGAGATACTAGATCATAAAAACCGAGTTAGACCCAGCGTATTTATTGCATTAAGGTTTATCCAAACATCCCCACTGCTCTATGTTTATGAACAATAAGATTTTTCTCACAGAGATGTCTGACTTGACCCATTCGCTTGGCATGATGAATCCTTCTTCTATGGAAATGGAATACCTAAGATGAACCTTTTAGAAGCTGTTTCCATTATTGACTATTAAGGTTATCGTTAATTTAGGAGAAATTGCTAACTGAATCCCAAACTACCTGGCATGATGCATCCTCCTCTAATAACCTGATTACCTGACTTATTATGTTATGCACGAGATAGATAAGTAGACTTGTTTTGTCTTTTTGTATATGCGGCGCATAAATGTGCTTAAGTAAGAGAGTTTTCGGCACTTGAGCTTCTAAGGATCCTGTACAGGAAAAAAATTATGGAGGGTAAAACTGGTTAGACTGTTAGTACCTTTGTCCGGTTACTACACCATGGGGCAATGACCTTGCTGCTGTCACCATCTTAGCCTTTGATTTTGGAGGATCCTATATCCTATAGTTGGTTTCTCACAAAAAAACCAAACAACTCATAATATGTAAACTCCCTCTTGCTATGTCATTTTCTCTTGTGATGGGACAGTCACATGCACAGTTGCACACTAAATCAAGTGCAAATGCATCTGAAATCATTACAAACATGTCTTTTTTGCTTATAGTAAAGAATAAAAACATTACACAATTAGTACATTGGATGCTTAGAGTACTCGATCCAAGCTTTTAACGAGCTACTCGAGCTTGAGCTTAATAATTCTCCAGCTCGAGTTGATCTTGAACACAAAATAGAACTTATTTAACTTAACGAGCCGAGCTCCATAAGACAAGTGTTTGACTCGGCTCGTTTGAAAACTCGATTAAATTTCTCGACTCTACTCAACTCGAGCCTAGCCATTCAAGCATACACTTTTTTGAGCCAAACATGCTCATATGTTCATAAACCATACAATGAAAATATAAAAATTATCAAGCTTGAGCCAATATTCGAGTTAATCTATCGTGATTTCGAGCCCATAGACGAGCGTAATTAAAAAAACATTCGATCTTGAGCTCGAGCCCTACTTTGAAAAAGTTATTCTAGCTCAAATCGAGCTCGAGCCTGGTATTGTCTTTTTGAGCCGAGCTCGAATAACCTACTACTCAACTCAGCTCGGCTCGTTAACAACCCTAGATATAATTACCATCATAGACGAGGCAAGTGTCTTTGTTATGGGTATGATCTCTACTTATAAAATTTAAAATGCTATTAACTGGTTTTTTCTAAATAATTTCTGATTGCAGAAGATAATTTTTTTGGTCCTGTATCCACAAGCTTTATTAGACGAGATTTTTCAGACTCTGCAGCCTCAGATGAGAATCATGATCATACTATGGATTCAACAGCATTTTCAATGCATTTTCATAGCATCGCTAGATCAGATTCAGAAGGGGATTTGAAGACTTCCACAGGGGTTCACCTTTCCTTTGACGAGAAAACCCCAACTCTGAGTTCTATCCCCTCTAATACAAGGAATTCAATGCTACTGACACTAGCTAAGAAGCCAAATTCTCAACCTGATGTTTCTACCTCTAAATTGAGCACTGGTTCTCAATCGAATGATATGAGTCTTGTTGGAGAATATCATGCTAAGTACGACTATGGGAGGTTATCCCCTGCATTGGATGCACTGTTGGCAGAAGGCCACAATGATTCAAATGTGATCTCCCATATTTCTATGCTAAAGTCGCCGATAAAATCTGGAGAACGTATTTTAGCAAACAAGGAAAATGGGCCTGACCTCATGGATTTTAGTTATGGTCAAGATGTAAAAATGCAAGACAGTACCAGTCATGAGGCACTCAATGAAGTTGTTAATGTTAATCCTAATGAGATGGGTGTGGCATCTGGATCCAAACTTTTTCCTAGTAAGCAGATTGCATTTGGTGTTTCATCTAATGCATCTGAAACCCAGGCTTCTAAACCTCTGTCCCCTAATCAATCCATTGGGGTAAGGACCTACAATTAATAGCAACGTTATTGCTGTTCTTTTTGCACTTGTTTGTTTGTTTCGAATGAAAGTGCATGTCAAAACGATCGTTGATTTATATTTGAGTCCCCTGTCAGGCCTCCATATTCCTCAAAGTTCATTATCTTTTTTTAAATGTTCAGAATTTATAGATATGGGTATAAAATTACAATGCATAAGAAATGCATCACACTTGGCATGCTGATCACTTGTTTAGTGGTTATCTGATTTGTATCTCATTCCATACCTATTTAAATTAGACATGATAATGCCTTATCCTTGTCAGTTATGTGAAGCTTGCATCTGGGTATGTATAGGCTGGTTGTATCAAATCATTTGTTGCATGTTCTTTTGATTGACATGTGATTGTTTGAATCTGTGTAACTTCTTATGTATAAAATAACCGTCCCTTAGAATGCATAGCTAGGAAAAGTGTATTCTTGTAGTTGCTTGTTTTTCATCAAGATATTGTGTATTGTTCACCTTACTTCTCATTTATAGGGCACTCTTACTGCCAAGACCAAGGAGCCCGTTAAAGATGCACTTGGAATCAACTCAGGCTTGGAAGTTTTGGCTACTAGTCAAGGCACTCCCTCAAATCCTAAGAATATGGCTTATCAATTAGAAGATGTCTTGGAAAAGGAAAATAAATCTCCTTTGGTAGGATCAATAACTCGTTTAACTGATAGGCCAAGTTACATGGTTTCAAATGGTGTTAGCCTATCTAAATCTCCAGGAACTGTGACTCCTTTCCATAATCAAGCAAGTCTTTTTCCAAAAACTGAAAGCCTAAAACACGGTGGAAGTGTTTCGTCCTTACAGAGAAGCATTTCTAAACTAAGAATTCTAGAGACTTCTCCCTTTTCGGCTGTTTTGAATGCAAAACTTGAAGATTCAAATTCCAGATCTGTAGTTGGCCTCTTCAAGATGACTCCCTTGGGTACTTTGTTGGAGAAAAACAACAAACCTCTCCAAGCCAATTGTATGAACATTGCTGGGATCAAGACTCTAGACACTTATCTTGAAGAACCATTACCATCTTCTGCTCAGAAGAAGAGAGAAGGGGAATCTACAAACATGAATGACAGTAAGACCGAGATACCAAATAATTTTGTGCCTAGAACTCGTAAGGAAAGTTCTGTTGAAGTTGCATCAATATTGGTTTTACCATCTGAAAACACATACATGCAGCCAAAGTTATTGCAATCTGCAGGTTATAAAGATGATGAAAATAAGATTGGTTCCCCACAAACTTTTACTTGTTCTCCAAAAAAATTCAAGGAGGCAACAACCGCAGAATTCAGAGGCAGTCCTTATAGAGATGAAAAGCAGTCTATTCAGCTTAATGAGTCAGTAAGTTTTGGTCTGGGCAATGTTGGAGGGTTAGGGGAAAGCGTCACCAATACTCAACTTTCTACTACAGCATCTGATGGGATGGATTCCTTGTACATTGAGAGAAGACAAAATTCTACTCCACTAAATGTTGCAATCTCCAATGTAAAAGAAATGCTGCATGACAGAAAGGATTTTCCATATGATGTCCTTTGTAACTCAGATTTGAGGAGGAGCTTAACAACCTTATCAAACGATATAGAACATGAGAACTTTCAAACAATTTCAAGAGAAAGTGACATTCCCATGGGGCTGATGAAAACTTCTCTCCTGTTAAACGGAAGGAAAGATGAACAATCCTATCGGCAGGTCAGTGACCTACTGTTTTTTGTATGTCATTGGTGCTACATGAGCCAATCCATGCAGTATTTGATACCTCAAGTTGGCAAGTATATATGAAATCTATTTTCCCTAGGATTAAAAGGCTTATGTGGGATTTTATAGCATGTCAAATGCACTTATCAAGTATGTTTGTGATGTTAATTTGACTCTGGTGCTACATTTCCCGTAGAATTTGGCAGATCAGTTTGGTGGAAGTCCCTCAAATAGAGAGCTTTACAGTGTATTGCACGATCATAGCACTGATTCCTTATGCATGGAAAAGGTACAGCCTTCCGGTGCGAATCAGTTGTCTACTGGAGATGTAAGCTCAGCTGAGCGGAAAAGAAAAACTGAAGATGTGATGGCTGAAAAAATTGCTAGAATCAGGAGGAGTTCAAATTCTGATGTCGAACTCCCAAGTGACGGTGGAATATCAAGTATTGGTCCTAATCTGAAACATTTAGCTGAGGTGTGGTTAGCTGCTACTTTGTGTTGTTTGTTGAATGGCTTTCTGTGCTCCCGATGAGGAATGCAAAGCGTCATTCCTTCTAACATTGTTTCTGGATATTAGCTTTTTTTATATGACATTCTATTTTGCAGATCCATTCAAGATTCTTTAAAGAAACAAAACTTTTTTCGCATTCAGTTGATAGGATGAATTTCCATACGGTATGTTCTTTTATCCTTTATATCTATTGCCACAACTATTGACTATATGGTAAACATGGCTACATGCTGCACATATGAGAACTGCTGAAGTTGCTATAGTCCATCTTGTTTTTACTTCCCTACTCTTTCCCATTTACTTTCTGCTGTTTCATTCTTCTTCTTTTTTTTACTCTAAAGTAGAAGGAATGAGACCCAAAACTGTGACTTGCACCTGTTTTTTGAAAAAGGGGAGACCATTACTATGTGCTTGGTTTCTGTTTGATGTCTGTGATGGTCTCTGTTTTGCAGATTGATCGTCTGATTGATATTGTGGGTCAGCTTCAGAGGTCTGAAACATATCAGCTTCTTTCTAATGAAATTCAGTCGCAGGTGGGAATGCTTATAGCTTTATCTTAATCGTGTGCTTGACATCATTGGATTGTGAACTATATTTTACCTGCTAAGACTGAGATTATTCTTTGATTGATACAGATCTTTCTAGATCAGGGTGGTAATATTCAAGATAAAAGGTATTAGTATTCACCCGACATTGGTTTTTTACATGTGCCAAACTTCAGTTTTTTCTAGAGTGCTTTGACATGTTAACAAATGGAAAATGCAGAGTAGCAGAAACAAAATATCTCTTGTGCAAAACTGTGCATGAGCAGGCTAAGTTGCAGCTTATGCATCTGAAGCGAGAGAGGCTACTGGTATTTATACACCCATCTACTTGTTTGATAAAAGCTTCCCATCTTTGTCTTTTCTCAGTTCTGTTTTATGCGTAGAAAAGTGTGCAGTCGCTTGCCTCTGGAATTCAAGAGTCTGAAGGGTTGAAGTTGAACTATCCACCACCAAATTCACTGGATGTTCGAGTTATTCACCAGCAGCCCTTCTCAGACAACATAGAGGACATACAAGAGGTATTGAACCCCATTCTTGTTCCCTCATCACCCACACAGAATGTCACTCTATTAAACTGCGTGGCATTGTAATTTTAAATCTACATATTGATCTTTTTCTTTTTTCCTCTCAGCATCGACATATAAATCTTTTACCATTTCTTTTAGGAAGATTTGAATTTGTATTAGATATTTCATGGTTTAAGAAGTCATTGGATACCCAACTTGTTAGATTTCTCTAGCTTTATTGAAATTGGTCTGATTATTTTCAAGCTGGATGTCCTTGGATCTTATCATCTTAATAACCGGATGTATTGAAGAAGATGACTTTGTTTTGAACCCAGTTTTTTTTTTTTTTTTTTACATAAAATCATTTACTTATCTTTCTCCGAGTTGGTACCATAAGGATTCTTCCTATTCATGCAAGTCACCTTTCTATTTAAGTTCTTCCATATATACGTTCTGTGTCATAAGATGCCTGGTTGTGATAGCATGAGGGGAAGTGTAGAAATGTTATATGAGATTGTGAGCATCTCAAATAGTTGCTTCTACCTATGGAGAAAAAACCAGGTATTGACCATTTACTGGTGATGTTTTTTGCTAGAATACAGGTGGCTCTCTGTTTCCTGTACTATCCCCAGATTATGGTTGACATTTGACAGCCAGCATGCTTCTCGTCATTGTGTCATTTAATAAATGGCAGAACTTATCTGTTTTCTTGTCGGTCCCTAAATCTTTACCTGAAGAGGCTTTATTTTAGATGTGATATGCAATCTGTTATGCTCATTAATTTTGTAGAGACTACATCAAGCTTTGGGTTCATGCCAACCGTTATAATCTTGTTTCTAGATATTGAGCGGTCCTTTCTGCATCGAGTAAAATCTATGAAGACCATCAAACCAACCATTGATGGTAGCTGTATATTTACACTTCTGTTTATCAATATTATGTTCCGATGACTCCTCAGAGAAAGTTTTACGTGCATTTCATGATGATGAGAGTAATTGACACAACATATTGCCAGACGTTTTGCTGTCTTTGTGCTCAATTTGCATGAAACCTTTTTGGTGATTAGTAGCTGCTCTTTTCTCTTTCCCAACCACAAACTTTGTGGCTTTTCTTGTTAGATTGATTTGCAACTTACTGTGAACTGCTTATTGTAGATAAAGAACTTTGTGGCTTTCTTTATTGATTGGTTTTCTTTGATTTCGTACTTTAAATTTGTTTCTAGCCAACTTATATGTAACTGCTAATTGTACGAAAAACTAGGTCGGTTTCTTACTTGTGGATTTGTACAGTGCCAAGTTGATTGCAAAAAATTGACTTCAATGATGCAGGCAATAGAAGATATCCATAGAAGAATTTCCAACTTGACAAATTCTTTTCACAAATCATGTAAGATGAAAGGGGAACCCAACCCTGCTGATACTATTGCATTTGTTACTGATCATTTGATGAAAAGAGCACGTTGTCAGACCATACGGAAGGATTTGCAGGTCCTTTATACACTTAAGTTACTAGTTCACTTTGTCCTGTAAGATGATATTGCTTGATTGCTGAAACTTCTGTTTGCTACCTTTTCTTTGTTATTTCAGCTGTGGGTTTTAGACAATCTGAAGAGTAGCAAAGGTCGTCATGAAATTGTTCTTAATTTCCTCGACCTCATGACTCAAAGGTTCCTTGTGAAGACTCATTTTTATCATGACTTGCACCTTTTAACAGGACTTTGTTATAACCTGTGCCTCGAGCTATAAAATTTAATTTATTTTTGCTCTTGTTCTAGTCCAATCTTGTTAAATTTCTATTGTTGATACTTACAGGCTAACGGTCACTGCTGGTGTAATCCCGAGCATTTCCATTTCTAATATATTAAATGAAATGAATATAAACAAGGTGAAACATTATATATAATATATTGACGAACTTCCATATGGTTTGCCACCTTTATATTATTTCATTATCTAGCTTGTTGTCTTGTAGCACTTCAAAGATATGGATGCTTCAACTGTGTTTGGGTTTGTCTTTGATGCTGGGATAACACAGAGGCAAGTTGGTGCAGCAAGTTTGGCACAAGAAACTCAAGTAAGTATCTTAACAAAAATGGCATAAGATTTGGAACATTTACATACAAGAACAAACCAACAAAAAACTAGTATCAGTTGTTTCCAGGATTACGTATTTTTCAATGGTATTCTTCACCCCACTAGTGTTAAGATATTGGGGCGTTGTGTCACAAAGCGAATTTTACTGCTTGCAAAGTTGCAATAAGCTTTTCTTTAAATCTCATTAATATAAGGTCACAGTGAAGCTCTTTTTGAGGTCAAAACTGTGAAAATACATTACAGCTTCTAATCTTTAATAGTTACAAATTTAAAATTGCTTGTTTCTTACAGACGACCAGTTCCCTTTTGGGGAATTTGGTTGATGTGATGGAGGAGATTCAACTTGCAAGAATAGAGCTAAGGAACCTGGTTCATGCTAGATTTCACACATCCTTGGGTAATCCTAACTAAACTATCTTTTATCCTAGTTTACTTTAATTTTGCAGATGAAGAATGAGATAGAAGTTTATTGAAATCAAAACATCAGTGAAGAGAACATCAATTAGTACCACTTACAAAAAATATTTATCTTGGTAACATTATCAATCTCTGTGAAAAGTGAGTTTATTCACTTTTCTCGTTAGATATCATATGCTCTTCTCTTCGCCTCATTTTCTTTCGTTTACTGCAAATTATCATGGAGCTGTTCTCTGGAATAGACGCTAGGGTCAAGCTAAGTTTCGCAACTTTTGTTGATTTGCAGACGAGAGCCTTTATCTGGAGCTGTATTTTTTTGATCCAAACGGCCGAAAGAAGGCAACAATAACTCTAAACGCTTCATGTTTAAAAAGGTGCCTTGCATTTTATAATTTTTTATTTGACAATAGAATTTGATGCACTTAAAAGAAAATTTGATATTTACATTTCATGTAACATTTTCTTGCTTCTGTTGACCTCTGAAAATTGCTGTACACTCAAATGACGCTACATCTAATTTTTCCTGCCTTCCCTGTTGCAAGTCACGACCATATAAATTGTTGCCATGCTAATCTTCTAGCGTTACGTTACATTCATTTATTCTGCTTGCTGCTTCTCCACTATGGTTTTTAATACAAGTCAAATGTCATATAACTCTTAATAAGATATGCGGGTATGATGTTATGTTCTGCTATATGTTGGACTCCATGTACCCTCAATCCTTTACCCAGCAAATGAGGGGGAAAAAAAGGAGAAGACAGGAACATTTCAGCCAGGACCTTCATAGATGGAAGTCTTTGGATCTGATGGACATTGTCTGTACTAACCCTCAAAGTGTTTACGCTTGTGGCAAACTAAGCAGGGAGTTGAGTTGGAGAAGCTGTTGTAGGTTATTATTGTGTGTTTTTGCAGGACACCCATGTAACAATTTAAAAAGCGTCGCACTAAGGAAGCAGTCACCATTTGCATTGGGTATCCTATAAGAACTCAGCTGGACTCTTGTTTTATTTATCTGTGAACGAAAGAAAATTATAAGGATAGAGCAACAATTCAAGAAGTAGGCGGTCCCCCAAGACTCTAGACTCTATCCCCCCCCCCCCCCCCCAAAAAAAAAAAAAACCCTTAACTCTAATGACCTATGAATACTTGAGATTTTCTAAGCCTATGTATTTCAAATACCATACTAGAAGATATCCTAAAAGACAAGTAATCAATATAAAAATAAATTATAACTAATTAATATTAACTACTAAGCCCTTCAATGTCTCACAAATCACCCCACAACCCTTTGAAATCGGCTTTGGTACATTTTATCAAAACGTTCAGGCGTATCAGCATCCTCGTGATGCAGCCAGTAGACTTGGTGCTTATGAAATGTCTACAACATGGATTACTTAGAGCAGCATTTGTAGATTGAAGATCTTGTTTAAACGTCCCGTATGCCATCCCCCTGATCCAGCACTGGATCTGATTTTATGTTCCTGAGAAAATACTTGTTCTAATTTCAAACAATGAAATGAAATAGAAGAGAATTAGAAACCTGGTTCATGCGTTATGGTAACTTAAGTTGCATGTTCATGGTTGATTGTCCTTGAATGATCATGAAACTTGTAAAACCAAATCAAACAAACCCAGTATATCCCACCTCGAAGGTGCGATCTAGGGAGGGTGACATGTATGCAGATCTAAGCTCCACCCAAAAAGTAGAGCGACTGTTTCCACGAAGACCCCCAGCTAGTGCATGGTGTGGAAGAATGTCATGAAACTTGGGTTATTGTCAAATATTGGAAATGTGCAGGGAAGCTATGGTGAGAAGTAAAGAAGAGATCTCCACCTTTGAAGCAATCGTATTGATGTCAACACTTATGAGTTGCACCGAGATGAACCGGATCAGTTCCCTTCTAAAGCGTAATTCATGGGTGGGAATGAGATTAAAAGTAATCAAGGGTTCAGATCTCTTCTTACGCTTCTCACCATAACTTCCTTTCTCACACGATCGTTCACCTTTCTGCTGTAATCTTATGTAGGCTGTTATTAAATTCAATAATATTCTGCTATAATTGAATCATATACACATCCTCTGCATTAATTACTCTTGTTGACTTCGATAATGAAATTCAAGCAGGGGTATCTACCCGTCAGAGATTGTTCCATGCCAAATTTTCACCCCTGTGGATGAATCGCAAAATTCGTCTTCTCAATCACTCTCTACTGAGATTGCAGCAGCAATTCGAGATCTCAGAGTGGGATTTTTAAGGATTCTACGATTATGTAGGTCCATATCGCAGTTGGTCAGCCCTTCAAGGTAAAAACTAAACAGTAGCTCGAGAAAGAGTTGAACATGTAATGAAGAATAAATATACTGAAGTCATAGTCAACTGCTGGTTGAACTCTTCGTTTTTCTTATTTGAGGCCGTAAAATTGCAAGAACGGTATGATTGACATAGCTAAGAATCCTTTCATCAGATCACAATGCTCACAACTGGATTTTGGTTTCAAGTTCTTCAAGAAAGGTTAGTTCTTTCTGTGATGTAGTCTCATTTCATTTAATTCCTGTGCACTTTTCACCCATTTGAATTTCGTTTCAAATTTCAACAGACTTGGTTTGCTAAACAATATGCTACCACAAACGACCCCATTTTCGATACTTCTGCGAAATGACCACATGTTTTTGAGATGAATTTTGTGAAATACACTTAATTTTGATAAACCTATTTATTTGCTGAAAATACATGACTACTAGGGTTTTGCAAAATTTAATGGAAAAATTCACGGAATTTAGTGGATTTCGATGAAAATACCACAAAAAGTTGGATTTGTAATTGATTTCCGAAAGTTGTCATTTCGTAGAAGTTTCTAAAAACAGGCTCATTTTTTGGTAGATCTCTTGTCAAATGGGTCGTTTTAAAGTGTAGCAACTCTTCGACATCTACCTTTAGACCTAGAATTAAAGCCATAGACTGCTTACTAAGATAGCTCAGCTCGATCATAGGACTAGAACATGCGAATTTATACCCATATTCTTTTTCGTTTTTGTTGATCAACTCTGCATAGAAATTATGATCATCACCTTCACTAGAATGCTTAAATTGAGTGGCCTGGTGTAGTTGGACTTGCCTTTCCTCATTTACATCTGCATCACAGGTGTGCAGAGTGTCAACTGTCAAGTACCCCTACTTGTGGGGAAGCTTCCAGTGGGACTATAACGGGGCGTTTGGTACGTAGGATTGGAACAGGACATGATATAACAATACAAAAATCTGTTGTCTCGCATTTGACGCGACATTAGCCTGAGATAGGATAGAAAATATATATTTTGTCTCCACAAAAATAGGTGGAACAAAATAGACGAGACAAAATTGGTACATTACTAAACTGTTCATGTCAAATTAAAACCCTAAAGCTTTCTAGAATTCTTTCACTCGTCTACTTCAGTTTTGCCCGTCCAGTCCCATCAGGGTACCAAACGCACACATGCTTTGTTCTTATCCATATCGAAAGTTTGGTACTAGGAATATCTCTAGTTGTCGATATGCTTTTAAGCTAGTTTATTCTCAACCTGTCCTTTCCAAAGGTCAATTCTCAACTTGACCCATTGTTGTAGATAAGCTTTTCTCCATCAGACGAACTAGAAAGCGACTAAATTTTGGTATCATTTGCCCCAACTTATTAGCACAAAGTTAGGGAATCGGAATAGAATACGGATGCAGCCTGGAGGGAGGGAGACAAGTATGGTGTTTGATTGATCATTTTATTCATTATTGGAACCGGATCGATTCGAGTACAGGTGTTTCTTTGTTAGTTTTGGAGCAAACCATGACCTAACTGTTTCTTTCAGGTGTCAACTCAAACTGGTGTAGGCTAGAAATGGACATGTGTGTTATAATGAGTGATGCTAATCGTATTCAATATTTGGAAACCAGTTGCCGGCCAAACTGGTCCTAAGATGATTTTAATGATAGGAATCCAATTTCTACCATACAAAGTGAAGGGGGTAGAAATGGTAATTGTACAAAGTGAAGGGGTGTAAGGAAAATACAGGCTGGATAAGGTGAACAAGACATGTGAAATCTGTTTGAAAGACGACAAAAATTAGAACCCAACAACATAGGGGTTGTGGGTAAGGTTAGGGTTTAGAGGTTAGGGGTTAGGGTTAGTAAAGGTTAAAGTGTAGGGTTGGGTTTTTGTTAATGGACCATGATCTCTCATGGGATCATATGATTAGAAAAAGTATGAAGGAAAGTTATAAAATTTGGAAGGATTGTCCAAGTAAAGAAGAAAATAGACATTTATTTTGGGATAAACTAAGGGGATGTTTACCCAAATGCTTATTCCATAAGTGTTTACTGATACGAATCAACACTGTAATATATTTTGATGCGTGAGATTTTAGTACATTAAAATGCATTGAATGCAACAATTTATCGGGTAAGTGCTTACTTGGGTAAGAGTCGTCATCTTCGCTTACCGGGTAAGACTCCCCACCTTTGTCATCGCTTCTACTCGGTAAGATTCTTAGCCCTTGTCATATTCATCTGATGAAGAAATTTATCCGGTTGGTAAGTGCTTAGTAAACGGCTCCTAAAATAGTAATAGGGGGGAAGTATTTAATTTTAATAGTTATTCTATTTTAGTAATTATAACATTAATTATATTATTAAAATATTATTTTTCTCTTCTAAACATTTATTTTTAATACCTTTTATTGGTGGAAAAGAATTAGAATATTATTTATATCTTGTATATCGAGTTTTAGTGATTTCTCTAAATTGAGAGATCCTCGTACTCTTTTCTTTCTTTCTATTTTACCATACAATATAGCATAGCTGTTAAATATAAAACTCTTTTAAATTATCAGAATTTTTATTATATCGTAATTGTTGGAGATGTTCAGATGAATACACAATTACCTTTTATAACGATTACTGTTTCGTAAATATACAATTTGGAATTGGGGTAAAAAATTGATTACTGTCAACTCCAGTCGGTCCTATATCAATTAAGTAGGTAATTTTTGACTCATTTAATGATCGATGCTAACAGAACTTTCTAGAAAAGTAACATGCAAATATATTCTGTTATGTTTATTTTTAAATAAAGGTGGGTAGAGTATGGCATTTAAGGCTTGTGTACCCCATAAAAGTTGTATTTTTGTGGCTCTTGAGTAACAGTCACGTGTAAATTTGTCAAATTATTTTATTATTTAACATAATAAAATAAAATAAAAAGAAATTAGGTTTTTGAAAAAATCAATTAATCTATACTATATTAAAAAATATTTGACAGAAACTTTTAAGAACTATTTTTTATGCATTAAGTATTGTTTATTGTATATTACTTAAAATTTAAGATTACAAGTAAATTGTATGTAAGTACAATTGATTAAAACTTCATGTTTGAATTCATATAACTAATTACGGATAAATATAATCAAATAGAGGATAAACATTTTATTTTAAATATAAAAAATATAATTAGAATAATCATTTAGTTCTAATAAAATACTTAATTATTATCTTTATGAAAAATTATATTAAAGTAAAAATAAGAAAAATGATTAAAAAATTACACAAAAAAACGAAAAAATTTAAATTGTTAGTTTGGTACTAATATCATTATATATTTTTTAAAATTTTATAATATCTTCATATTTATATTTTATTTAAAAATAAAAAAATTATCGTCTTCTCAAAACCACATAAAACTTTATTATAACATAGACTGAGACAAAAAAAATAAAACAAAACATTAAAATCGAAATGCATCTCGTTGCATTGTGCAAGTATTATTCTAGTTTATATTAAAAAGAGTCATAAAAAATTATATAGTTGGGGAGGGTTAGAAGCAACGAGACGTAGTAACTAAAAGCAAATCCAAATAGTGAAGGAAACAAAAAGAAGAGAAAAAAGACCCAACGGTATTATAGTCTTTGCCTTTTTATGAGATCAGAGGTTTCAACCTCATTAAATATGATGAGAATGTATGGGTTTATTTGTTGCATTTGCTGTATATAAATATTATATATTTCGAAAAGAAAAGATAACCTGAGAGAAATGAGAGGCTCAACTAAGATTAATGTTCCTTCATATCTTTATCTAGCTGGATCTATTTTGTATGTTTTTTTTAACTTAAATTATTTTTAAATCAATTAAATAAATTTTTAAATCAATAAAAATAAGATGATATTAATCGAACATGTTAGATATATTAATGAAATGGATTTAAAGGCATTTTATAAATTGAATAAATGTTTTTATATGTAACTATACTATATTATAAACTATTTGACAAAAACCCTTAAAAACCATTTTTTATATTTGAAATATTGTTTATTGATGTATATTACTTAACATTCAAGATTACAATTAAATTGTACATAAATACAACTTATTAAGCTTTATATTGGAATTCGTGTAACTAACTATAGATAAACATAATTAAATATAGGATAAACATTTTATTTAAAATATAAAAATGTAAAATATAATTAGAATAATCATTATGTTCTAACCGGATATTTAATTATTATCTTTATGAAAAATTATATTATTAAATTAAAAATAAATTATTTCATTATTAAACCTGAATTAAACTATAAACACATTGAATTAAAAAAATTACACAAAAAAAATAAACTTTTAAATAGTTAATTTGATGCTAATATTGATTTTTTTAAAATTTTATGATATCTTCAAATTTATATTTTATTCAGAAATAAAAACATTATCGTTTTCTTAAAACCACATAAAACAATATTATAATATCAACAAATGACATAATAAAACGAAACACTAAAATAAAGATACATCTTGTTACATTACATAAATACCCTTTTATATTATATAATAAGAATGATCATATGAGTAATTCTAACATGAATATCCTTTAAATAAAAAGTGTTATAATTGTACAAAAAAACTTTCTAAATGTAAGTAATTTTGCGTGAACATAGGATGATAGTTTAGGAGTAATTTAAACAAATAAAACGGTCACTATATTATAATAACTTTTCATTAATAATATATTTAAACATAAGAAATTTATCAGTTACATATTCACAATTATATCAATCATATTAAAGGGCTTTTGGTCTAGCGGTGTGTGAGTTTTTGGCTTCCTAGATTAGAAGTTCAAACCTCACCAAAGTTAAAGAGCGTGTGTAAGTTTATTTGTTATATTTTCTGTATATAAATATTATATACTTAAAAAAAATTATATCAATATCTATGTTTTAAAACGGTATCATTATATGCATCATTTTCATGTCAGAATTAAGTTAAATCATGCATTGATAATCAAAAAGGTAGATAAAGAGAAAATTAATAGGAATGTATGTATTTTTTTTATTAACCTGGATATCAAACCCGCGAACCGACTAATCCCATCTGCTTTGCAGATAGCCCGAAGTCACTGCATTGAACCTTCATGGTCACAAGGGGATTTTTATTCCTCAT